GTCTTTAGAGAGGGACATCATGCTGGGTAGAGTGGAGGGACAGTGCAGGAGGGGAAGACCCTCTATGAGATGGATTGATTCAGTGACTGGGGTAATCGGGATGGGTATGTCAGAAGCAATGAGATTGGCATGGGATAGAGTACGGTTTAGGGCTATTGTACATAGGGTCGCTGTGAGTCGCAAACGACTCGACGGCACATAACAACAATAACAACAACTGGTTTAGTGGTAAAGAGTTGTGCTGTCAACTCAAAGACATGTGGTTCGAATACACCAGCTGCTACACATGAAAAGATGGGCAATCTTCTCTTATATAATTTACTGACTCTGAAAACCCACTGGTGGTCAGCTATGACTTGATAGCACGTAACAACATCATCTATTAAAGACACACAATTTCATTTTATTGTGAAATAATTCCTATAGAATAGTATAAATTCTGTTTGGTCCTTTGGGTCTTCTGAGTTTTGTACTGTTATTTTACTTTCTTTCATCAACATCTCCAAACAAACCCAGGTATAACTGACATTATTACAAACCTGTTAGTATAACTAACAAAAATGATATTACAACCACCATTGCGTTTTAGGACCTAACACAGTGTTTCAGATACCAGTTTTGGGTTTCCCCCCCTATTATATTAATACAGAGCTCCCAGTTTTAAAAAGGAAATATTACTCTCCCACAGTTCACATAAGGAAACCAGAGTTCAGTTATCCCAGTTCACAAAGCTATTAAGTGGCAGAGGCTACCAGATTCCAGTCAGTTTCTCTGACTTTAAAGCCTGGGCCATATACCAATGCTGTAAGGAGGATGGGCAATCTCTTCCCTGTGAAGAACTGCCTCTGAAAACCACTGGCAGCTCAGCAGTGGATCGCTTCCGACTTGGTACACATCAACAGCAACAACACAGCAGACTGTACAAAGCAGGCTGAGTTTGTTGTTAATGCTGTAGAGTTGGCTCCTAAAAGTGGAGAATGCTATCAGAAAAAGGAGACGAGTACAAAGGTGAAGGGAAATCTAGGAGGTGAAAGACTGCGTAGGTAGAAGAAAGAGGATTTAACACTGAGGAACAACACGTTAATACTTACAGGCATAATTTGACACAAGTCATCAATGGTAACACCGCAGACGCCGACTGGTGTATTTTGATCACTAGGAACAACAGGCGGGCTCAACAATTTCTTGTAACAGCAGGGAGGGAAACGAATATCCAAGGTGATGCTGTTATAAACAGCTAGTCCCATAAGCTATGCATACTAAATGTTAAGCATTAACATAAATTCCATGACAACAAATTCGTCCTGAATTATGCATCAGTCTATTTCTTGCACACTTCTTTCAGATTTAACACTGACTTTCTAATTAGTCCCCCACACTTCCTGTCTTTTCTTTCATATATTTTCTCTTTATTTTTCACAACATAATTCCTTGATTACCAAAAGTCATATGAAAAAAAAGGAAGAGTTCAAATGATAGTATCTATTGATACTTCTGGAAATTTTCTTTAAAATAAGGAGTTATTATCCCAGGTATTTCTGTTAAGTAGCCAGCCCATAAGAAAAACATTTTCTAAGTTTAAACTAAGATACTGGTGATTTTTACAACTGGTAGCAGCAGTTTATTTAATAAAATTTGCTGCAGAATTCACTGCTGGTTTTGATGACAGTTATTTTAATTCTTTTGAAATTAAACAAAGACTATATATGAAGAGTAAGTCCCAAAGTGGCACCAACAGTTTCTTTGATTGACTTAATCAAAAGCTGGCCGTTCAAATCCACTGACTTGTGCTGAAGAAAGCCAAGGTGACCTATTTCCATTAAGATCACAGCCACTGAAAACCTATGAAACACACTGTTCTACTCTGCAGCTCAAAGTGCTGATGGGCAGAAAGGGAGGAAAGAGGCACTGGTGGGGATGTTCAGAAGAAATGCCTTGGAGTTTAGTGTCATTCTAACGTGAGCCCAACTTTGGATGCTTGAAGCTTTGACCTTAGTGGGACAGGGAGCCCCAGTGGCCAGGCCTAGGAACAGCACTCCAGGATCTTGAACCCAGGGCTTGCACTGGTGGGAGTGAAGTCCTGAAGGGAAGCGCTGACTCGTCTGTACATGAAGAAGGTAATGTGGTTAAGCCGTGGACCTTCCTGTCACACAGCCGAGCTTCATCAGCTTTGCCTCCTCCAAGCCTCCTTCTATGAAGTGGAATAATCCATAACTGAACTCTTCACAGTGATGAGTTAAATTTTAGCTCTTTAGATAAATGAGTGGTCTAAAAACAGAATGTTGTGTTGTTGTTATGTGCCGTCGAGTCGCGACCCTATGTACAACAGCCCTAAACCCTGCTCTATCCTATGCCAATCACACTGCCTCTGACACACCCATCCCGATTACCCCAGTCACTGAATCAATCCACCTCACAGAGGGTCTTCCCCTCCTGCGCTGTCCCTCTACTCCACCCAGCATGATGTCTCTCTCCAAAGACCTGTCTCTCCTCAAAGTATGTCAGACGAAGCCCCAGAATCTTTGCCTCCAAGGAGTAGCCTGGTTTAACCCTCTCTAGGACAAATCTGTTTGTTTTCTTGGCAGTCCATGGTACATTCAATACTCTTCTCCAGCACCACAGCTCAAAGGCATCAATTCTCCTTCTGTCCTCCCTAGTCATTGCCCAGCTCTCTGATGCATAACAAGTGATTGCAAAGACCATGGCCTGTATCAGGATAGAAAAAAAAATCCTCCATTTTCACATAATGCAGAATCACCTACAAATCTGATCTTTGGAACCTAATCAAATCAATAACTGAGAAATAAGTTATACTCATATTTTTGTAGGTTCTCTCTTCTTCTCATAAATCAATCCAAATCTGTTGCTGCCAAACTCATCTGACTCGTGCTGACCCAGGTACATCAGAATAGGACTATATTTGACAGGGCTTTTCAATGATACCAATTTTATGCACATTTATACAATACAAGGAGCCCGATGGCTCAATGGTTATGCACCAGTTAACTGGAAGTTTGAACCTGGTGTACATAGATAAAGATTTCCGCTTAGGAAATCTCATGAAATAGCTTTCTCTTGGCCTAAAGAGTTGCTGTGAGTTGACTCCTATAGAGTCTGTCCCACACAATAACATGTACAACAAATTACTGACAAGCTAATTGACAAGAAGGTGCACTGCAACCCTGAAGGTTGGTGGTTCAGGGCCACCAGCGGCACCACGGGAGAAGGATGGGAAGTCTCCTCCCATGTGATTAACTGCCTCTGAAAACCCTCTTGAGGGTGGGGTATGGGTTGATCTTGGCTATGGTACACAACAACAACATCGGGACAATTAATCTCCCACAGCACTGAGAGGTTTCAAAATGTGTCCAAAAAAGCTATGGTGGTTCTACTTAGAGGACCTAAATCTGTTTTATTGATTAGATATATGGCAGAAGGTAACTTAAACATTTGCTAAGAGAGATTTTAGATAAAATTCCACAATATTTCAAGTGTCAAAAAGATTGTTATCTCAAGTTATTAAAGAAGTCATTGATTTTACAGGCTCAAAAACAAATGGAAACATATGGTGTGGATAAATTATTGAAAACAATTTTTAAAAAATTGGAAGACCATCAATAATTGAATTTGTTAGGCAGAGTGATGGCTAAATGTTATGTATGGAGTCGATGTGCTGTTTTATAAGTAACCGTATCAACAGAGGCTGGACAGTATGTTCAAAAGGGCAAATCTGAAAAATAAATGCCAATACACTATCTGAGAACTGCAGTAACAGTTATAATACTATGGTAATACTATAGTTACCATTTATGATTCCAATTCATAAAGCCTGGGTCTTAGTATTATTTTTTCATTTAAACTTTTATTATAACACTGAAGGCAGTGGTGGCAGGCTTGTTATTTTGTTTTTTACAGATGAGGAAGCAGGCTCATAGAATTGCCACTGACAAGTTTCAGATGAATGTTTCATTGCACATTAAAGCAACCTGTTGTGGCTGAAGCAGAGCTAGAAATGGAGGGGTCCTCTTGCTGGACCCCTGAGGCATCATGTGGCATTCACAGAACAGAATCTGAAAATCCTGCATTACACTATCGTCAGTGCTAATGCCTCTTCTAGTACAGGTATTAAAACCTGGTTCTTATGTAATCTTCAACACATTTTATAATTACTATTACAGGCTTCACTCTGAACTTCATGATCTTAGCATATTTAAAAATAATTGTGTCAGACATATAATGCTGTCAGAACGACTGGAACAAACAAATCTGGCTGTGAGACTTAAAAGGTGGGATATATTTAGAACTAAACTATCTGTCCTCATGGTCATGCTTCTCACTTTTTAATTTTCAGTTCTCCTCACTTTTGATAGATTTCCACTATAATTTCAAAGGTTTTCCTACATAGTACCATACTATTTGCCTTGCTTTCCCTAGTTTTTATTTCTGTAAGAATAAATACACATATTTATGAGTCAGTGGCATTTACAATAGGGAGCTCAGGCAGGTGGTGTAGTCTGGAGGGAGTTGTTGCTAACCCAAAAAAATGCCCCCTCTCTGGCAGTTTGAATTCACCAACAGCTGTTGGGGAGAAAGATAAGCAAGATACGTGGCCTCCCAAGAAGCCACTGCGAGGCCAGCTATGTGTTGGTTCTGATTCAAGGATAATGAGTTATAGTAAGCCGAGGAGTTTATAATACATTTAGATTTAATGATTTAACTTGACATGCACAATGCGTTAACTCATTGCCAGAGAGTTAGAACTAACGTCACAGCTGACCCTCCAGCAGGTTTTCGGGAGGCTGCAAATCGCTTGAAAGGAGACGGTCCATCTTTTTTCTGGGGAGCTGCTGGTCGATTTGAACCAGCAGAGAGGTCCTGCCCTTAGGATAGCAGCACCACCACTTTCTACAGCCTATGCAACACACAAAAATGTTTAAGAAACACTTCCAGAACAATGATTGAATAGAAACAAATGTTTACTGCAAAAACATATAAGTGAATAAAACTTTACTGAATTTATGAGTAAATTTTATGAAACATAATACCACTGTAAAATGTGATAAATGAGATCTCATACTTGAAGAGTGTGAAAGCTGATGGAAGGTGAACATGGGTCAGCATGGACTTGAGAGCAGCAGAGTGTTTCGGAGTACCGAGTCTCCTGGGGGTTTTCAATAAGCTGTGTTTTGCCCATCATTCTCCTCAGGAGTCGCTGGGGGACTGGACCCTCTGGAGGGGCGGCATCTTTGGGTTAGGAGCACCCAAATTCCCTCTAGAGCACAACCCCCGAGCTCCCTATTATAAATGCTACTACTTCAAAGTGACTGCAAGCACGGGTCTGAGCGTGTTGGCGATCGTGAGGATACACAGTATAGGACAGGGTTCAGGCCTGCTGGTCATGGGGTCTTTAACTATGCAACAATGAATTAATTCTTTTTTTTTTTTTTAGAAAGTGAACCTGGGGGTTGGGAGGAAAATGCGCAATAATGAGTGAAAATCCAACTTTTCTGTAAACTTTCATTAAAATCACAATAAAAAAGGGGAAAAATACAAAATAATAAAGTTAATAAAACAAAAAACTGACTAAAAAAAAAGTCGTACTCAACTTGACAGTACCCAACAACTTATAACTAATAACTTCATATTTATGAGCATTGATCTCCCAGTATCTCACTATTGATTTGGGGCATATTAATGGGTTAGCCTTAACTATCACAAAGTCAGTTTAACCAGTTACTGTTGAGAAGATTTAGACTCATGGTAACCTCACAGGTGTCAGAGTTGAAATGTGTGCCATGGGATCTTCAATGGCTAAGTTTTTAGGTCTTTCTTTTAAGTCCTCTCTGAGTGGATTTAAATGGCCAGCATTTGGATTAACTGACGTCAGCTCCTTAATCACTGGAACCATCCAGCGACCTCACAATTTAGAAAGCACTTAAAAATAAAAACACTTCATAAATACTTCATTTTACAAAAGATTTTAAAAAGTGTTTTAAACTTCCAAGAATGTAAGTTACTATATATGTGAAACAGAAAATAGCCATTATTATTTGAGATGAAGTTTATAGGAAAAAGATGTCAAAGCTCATTTTCCCTCTAGATAAGAATTTAATCACTGATATTATATGGTTGTGATATCATAAATAAAGATTACTGTAAATCTTTTAGTAAACTGGACAATGTCACATTTTGATAAAACATTAAGAACAGTTTTTTAAACGATGGAAAAAATATTTTATCCCTAGTCTGATAGCACCTCCTAGTGGAAAGTGTAAAGGATACAATTCCAACCAATCGGAATTCAGAATAATTATCACATTTAAAGCTGCTGAACCAATGGCAGTGTGAATCCTTGTGATAAGTAAACATGCCTGAAAAAAGGAAACATCATTTAATTATTAATATGATTGATAAAAAATTAAAGGTATAACTGTTACATGACATCTCATATAGTAGAAATAAAATAGAGCAAAAATTACGATTCCTTTCCTGTTAAAATTTTTTACAGAGTCTTTACTTGAAGGACTATATATTTGCAAATCTCAAGAAATATAAATATATATGCATGTTAAAAATATATACACACTGCAGGTGTACAAGTGTATTTATTGTTGACGAATCCTGAACAAGGGTAGAAACAGTCCAAAGAATGGAAATGAGCTCTCTTTTACAGCTAAGCTTTATGATCTCTAGTTTTATAGCTTATGATCAAAGTTAATTTTGAGGATTATCTGGAAATTTCTATTTACCTATGTCATCTCTATTTCCTATTACCAGTAATATAATTAAATTAACATATTAAAAACCCCAAAGATTAAGAACATTTAAAATTCTTGTATGAAAGAAAGATATTTAACAGATAGAATCCACCATCTGTTTTGCTGGAGAAGGATGGGCAATCTCCTCCCTTTTGTTTTACTGCCTCTGAAAACTGGAGGACCAGCTATGAGTCAGTTATGACTTGATAGTATACACAACAAGGACTAAGTAAATTATTACTCCAATGAGAAATATTATTTTTAAAAGACATTTTCTTAAAATATTAAGTCATTGAGCCATTACAATGGCTCATTAAAGGGAGAGGTTTCAAACATTCGTATGGAGCAAGCTACAGCTTTTTAAAAATTTCAAATATTCTTTATTTCAATGACAAATTTTCATGCCATTGGTTTAACAAAGACAGAGGGCTGTTTGTTTGCATCTTTTCAGTCTTAATACATTTTGTGTGGACTTCTCAGTAAGATAATTAACTTTCAGGTCATCACATAAGTAAAAAAACCTTTAAACTAAAAAAGAAGTTTTAAAAACAATAGGCAGAATATACACAAAATCATAAAATAGATTGAAAATAAAGGCAACTAATTGAATTATAAAAACATATTCACAAAAATCAGAAAAGTACTCACCATAATCCGGGTGGAAGATCTGTCGAATCAGAAGAAGGAACCATTCTTTAGTCAACCCCCCCATATCCAAACCAGCTTCCCCCACAAAGGTAACTTTCAACTTTTTTTTCAAATCTGCTCTTTTCCGGGTTAACTATTTGAAGAGAGAGAGAACAACAAAGGGTGAGGAGAAAAGGAATTAATATTAGTTAGTTCTTAAAAATATCTTCAGGATAAAAGGCATTTTTTTTATAAAAGGCATTCTTCATCTTATTTACAAAGCCACAAAATTCCATTTGCCCATTCTTTCACTCATTTTCTTCTGTCAATGTGCAGACATTGTATGGGTTGGATATTGTTATGTATTATGTTTTAGAGACCAGGAAACAAAATAAGAGAGCTCAGATAATTTGTCCAAGGTTCCTGTCTTTTTGGTACTGCATTGTCTATATGATTTCATGTACCAGACTATCACACAATTTTTTTAACACTCCTTTAACACTAAACTTTGATTTATTTATTTATTAAACAGTAAACTTTCTAAATTACATAGCTAAATTAGCCTTTGTATTCTAATGACACATGTAGATTTGGTTGAAACAGTGTGCATGCAGAAAGCTCAATAATATACTTATACACGATCAAAGTAACTTTAAAATTGAAACAGACCCTTTATTTCATAGGTAAGCAATAATGAGGCTTGAAAAAGTAAAAATTACTTATTAAACACTTAACCAATGACTAAGGTAAGTTTAGAACCCAGATTGTCTTTTTAGAAACATAAATTAGTCATTTAAGTGTCCTAGACCAAATCCTTTCTGGAAATTCACAACAAAAACCCAATATAAAATTCAAAACTAGATATGAAGCTTAACTGTGACTACAGAACTTACTTTAATTATGGAATACAAATACAAGGAGGGATTTTTATTGACATAACTGAAATAAACCGCTAGTTAAGATTTGAATAATAAACTTTATTACAGAATTTACTCAAAACATAATAAATTAATACCATTTTGGAATAAGTCATCTGTACCTCATCGAGTGAATCGCTAACCAGATGGGTCCGTCTTACTTTCATATTTAGAAATAACATATTCATATCAGGTCTCTGTCGTCGCGATACTTTATCCACAAGACTTTGCTAATCAAATGAGAAAGCAAATATTTTTCACTTTTGTTTATTTCATTTTAAATATTTATACTCTTTAAACTATAGAACTTTCTGAAGCATCTACCAGAATATAATACCATTTAAAAATCAAATTAGCTTTGACAAGCACTGTGGCATTTGGACAAGAAAAAACTGGGAGGAGGGTAGAGAGAATAGTGTAACAATGAATGAATGGAAACCCAAAATCTCTGTAAATGTTTATGAAAATTAATAAAATATAATTATAGGGGGAAAAAATCAAAGTAATAAAAACTACGCCTAGGACTGGTCCTTGGAGAGGGACATCATGCTTGGTAGGGTAGAGGGACAGCACAGGAGGGGAAGACCCTCTATGAGGTTGACTGATTCAGCGACTAGGGTAATCGGAATGGGTGTATCAGAGACAGTGCAATTGGCACAGGACAGAGTTTAGGGCTGTTGTTCATAGGGTCGCTAAGAGTCGCAAGCAACTCGATGGCACATAACAACAAAAACAACATGACATGGAAAATGTTTAAAACTGAGAAAACGCAGGAAATAAAAGAAATTGTGTCTACAATACGGTTTTCATCTATGTTTCATTTCAACTGTATGTATATAAAAATACCAGAAGATAATTTACTAAAACAGCTAACAGTAGCTATTGAAATATGAGCAGGAACATGGATAGTTTTTTAAAAGCCCTTTTTCATGATTTTCCAAAATATAATAAGTAAAAATAATAGATTTTAAAATGTAGAATATATAACATGTAAAATGTTCATGATTATATATTAAATTTTTAAAATGAGTTTTATTACCTTTGGTAACTAAGAAAATAATGCAGATAATTTGGATGTTTTAAATACATACACTGTATTACATGAAGAGATAAATGTTAATACTTCAAATCTATAAGGCTGTTTTCATTATTTTGGAAATCAAAATAATGAAAATACTCTTTTTTCAGAGTCCTTCTTCATCTCTTTACTATCTACTGTAAAGGCTTCTAAGTGCAATTCACATGACAGAATACTATGCAGCACACAGGAGCATTGATTTTGTAAATCACTACCTATCTTGGGAGGGACTGGAGAGCATTATGCTAAGTGAACTAACTCAGTCCCATAAGGACAAATACCGTAAAAGGCCACTATTGCAGAAATAGATAACTAGGAAAACATGTATGAAGATCTAAGAGGAAGAGGGTGGGAACAGGGGTGAGTATGGGCTGGGGTGTGTGTGTATAATCAAAGGGTCGCACAATTTGATAGGGAAAGGGAGGATTGGGTTAAGGAAATGGGAAAGATTTGGTGTGAGAAAACAATGTATATGAACTCTGTAAGTAAATCAGCTTAAAACAAAAAAAATTTATTATAAAAAGAGAAAGGCTTATAGTGAAAACTATGGTCAGAATCTATGGGAATGCCTTGTTTTTCTCGGTCTCTAAGGTTTCATGCCTTTAACAGAGTGCTGTCTGTCTAATGACTTTTCCATCACTTGTTTGAATAGAAACAATCTGAGTTTTCCTTCTTTAATAGGAGGCAGCATTCACAAGTTTTACTGCGACACTATTTTATTTCTCCCTTTGGTGTACAAAGAAATCAGTATTTCTGAGATAATATCCTGTGTCCTGAACTCTTTTTCTACTCTTTCCTGTCTTTATTCTGTCCCCAGTTTGGGTCCTGGTGATCTGTCACACCGGGAAAATTCAATAAATTCATTTCTATAAGGATGCCAGTGATAGGCCAGCTTAGTAGCAACTCCTCTCAAAAGGAATTCATATTTTAGTAAGGAAAACCTTCAACCAAGAGAAATAAGACAACAATGGTAGATTTTTAAACAGCAAGATGGGACAATTCTTTTTTGGTTGGATTTAATGCTTTTGCAAATTTAATGCTTAATGCTTTAAAGCATTAAATTATTCCTTTTCAAGCTCTTGTCTACAGTGACCACCTGTAAGTGTCTAACTTCTGCAAGAAGAGTCACCAGGCATTATTACTCTACTACGAGTGTAAGTGCTTTGGCAGTTTACAAGTTGAAATGTTGGGAAGCTCCATAAACTGATTACCACTTGACTCTTCAATGTCTCATTTTCTTCTCTGCTCTGTAGAAGGCAGCTTGGGATAGGGTCTACTCTTGTTATCCTCTGTCTACTTCTGATTAAGTGTGAGTAACACAGAAAACAGAGAAATTTAGAGAAACTTTAGGAAATCTTTTCCATACAAATATTAAAAAACCCAACAGTCCAAGGTGGAAAAGTATAAAAGAAATAAAATTAAAGTATACGAATACAACTAAAAGAATGTAGAAATGACAAGCTATATATGCTAACCTTCGAACCTGTATCTGCCCAACACCAATCCACTATCACTGAGTTGATATACGTATAGTGACCTTTCACTGGTTCTCTGAGACTGTAAATTTATTTTGGAGGAAACTGTAAATCTTTTTCCTGGGGAGTAACTGGTGGATTAACCTTTCAGTTTCCAGCACTAACCACTGCGGCCTGTGCCACCAGGGCTCCTATCGACTCTGCATCAAGTAATAAGAATAATACTAAATATACCTGTTTAAAGTTAATCTTCAATGTGGCTTTGGACCTCCTTTGGCTATTGTTTGTTGGGTGCTGGGAGCTGGAACTGACACATAGCTGACCCTCTGGCGCATTTCCAGAGGCAATAAATCACACAGGAGACTGCCAGTACTTCTCCCCCTGAGCAGCCGGTAGATTCAAACCAAATGCCTTAGGGATTAACAGTTCAGCTTCTTACCACTAGGCTACCAGAGCTCCCTCGGTAAACACAGCAATAATAATTTTTTTCATATTCCCATACTCAGTATAATCTGATATTTGGGATGTCATCATTCAAATATTTGTGTCTCACTCTGTTGTAGGAAAAAATAATTTACCTCTGGGAAGTGAATTACTAATAGATAATAAATTTTTGTTTTTATATTATTTAAAAATTTTGTAATTTATGCTTTAGAATTCTTTTTTCTAATTTTAGATGGAACATGGAAATTATTTTTGCTCTTAAGTTTCTGCCTTTTAAGAAATTACAGTGCACCTTCAGTTGTGAGAAGTTAATCATGTCTAAAAACAGATGCTCAGAATACATAAGCAACACTTTAAGCAGATTGAGCATTTAAATGTAGAAATCTAAAGCTGTAACAAAAAGTCACTAATTTGATGTCAGGTAAGGTATTATGTTATTTGGCAAAGAAAAGGAATCCTGGTGGCGTAGTTCAGAAGCTGATTGAGAAGGTTGGTTTAAATCTACCAGCTGCTCTACACAGAGTCTCTGGCAGTCTGATTCTATAAAGATTTACAGTCTTGGAAATCCAACAAAACAATTCTACTCTATTTTACAGTGTCATCTATGAGTCGGAATCAGCTCAAAGGCGATGAAATGAAGAGTATGCAGTGGGTAAAGACAGAAATAAAGCTCACTCTGCTCTACAATTTGCTTAAAGTCAGCCTGACTGCTATCCTAGTTCCTATGCCCTCAAGTAACTTGATTTTCTAAGAATCAATAAGACAATCTCCACCTTCTTTGGATATATTTCTGTCTTCCAAGATATTTACTTTTTGTTACATTTTTCACTTTTTGTTTGATGTTTATAAAACTCAGAATATGTTTTAGTATTGCATGATATGCTTTTAAGGATAGTCCCATCAACTAGTCACCTGGAAATGGAATATAGTCACCACAAAATAAAGTCCAAACTTCCAGTATTTTGGTTCTGTGAGACACATTTAATCTTCCTGACAAACTTATAAGGAATTTAGGAGTGACAACTGAAAATCCCCATATTTTACAATGCGTAAGCATGTATTGAGAGGATAAAATAAGGATTATACTTTATAATTTTTCAGTAGGCTAGAACAATTCATAAGATATTTGACGTATTTATGGAATTATTTATTTTATTGATTATAATCAATAAAAACATGTTTTCACAGATGTCTTACCCTTGCAATACTTATCATCTGTTGTTCTGAGTCTCTTTGAATAATGATTTTTTTTGCAGCAATAGAAATGACAAATGGATACTGACAGAAGGAAAACCTGCTTGAGAAACGAAACACAAAAAGCAAAACAACGTACTGTTAGCAAAATGATATCCCTTCTGACAATATAAAAATTACTTTTATATTGTGTTTACCCATTTACAAAATTCTTTTCTATAGATCATCTATATTCATTACTAAATGAGGTTTTTATGTGCTGTCCAGAGGACTATATGACTCATAGTGACTCTGTGAACAGTAGCTCCAAACCTTGCCCTATCCTGAGCCAAGCTCACCGTTTCTGACAGACCTGATGCCTTTGCCACTGTCACTGTGTCAATCCACCTCATCCAGGGCCTTCCTCTCTTTTGCTGACCTTCTGCCCTTCCAAGCATGATGTCCTTCTCTAAGGACTGGCCCCTTCTGACAACATGCCCAAAGTATGTGAGGAGTTTCAAAATCCTTGCCTCCAAGGAGCAACCTTGCTTCATCCACTCCAGGACACACCTGTTGTTCTCTTGGCATGGTATATTTAATCCTCTTCTCAAGCACCACACTCAAAGGTATCAATTCTTTTTCTGTCATCCTTAGTCACTGTCCAGCCCTCAGATGCATAGCAAGCAATTGAGAAGATCATGGCCTGGATGGGACACATTTTAGTCTCTAGACTGACATCATTGCTCTTTTAGCACTCTGGAGTGGTTCCTGACAGCAGATACTCCCAGTGCAATCCATCTTTTGATTTTATGACTGCTGGTTCCAAGGGTGTTGGCTGGATCTGAGCTAGATGAAATAATTGATAACATCAATCTTTTCTCCTTCTATCCTGATGCTGCCTATTGGTCCAGTGGTAAGGATTTTGTTTTATTGATGTTGAGATGCAATCCATGTTGAAGGCTGCAGTCTTTCATCTTCTGCAGTAAGTGCTTTAACTCCTCCTCAGTTTCGCCAAGCAAGATTGTGTCATCTGCATAACGCAGGCTGTTCGATGAGTCTTTCTTCAATCCTGACGTCACACTTTCTTAAGTCCAGCCTCTTGAATGACCTGTTTAGTATACAGATTGAAAGGATATGGAGAAAGGATACATCCCTGACACACTTCTTTCTTGGTTCTGAATCATATCATGAAGTGTTACCTTGCTGTAATAGGACAAGAGCTTCTTGGTTGAGGAATGAGTTTTCTATGAATACAATTAAGTGTTCTGGGATTCCTGTTCTTCTCACTGTTAGCCACAATTTTTTTGATAACTTTACATGTGAATGTATGTACATATTTTATTTTCTTTACAAATATATATTCCATGTCTCTCCTGGGACACAATTCATTTTCTTACACACAATAGCCATAAGTGAAAGAGAAACACACAAGGAATTACTTTCTATAAGACATTTCAGGACTTAGATTTCCATCATAAGTGAATTAAAGATGAAACATTTCCCCATTAGAACAAAGTTAAGAAAATTGAACAAGCAAACAAATAAACTAGTAAGAACTGTTTAGTGCTTTTATAAAAAAGCACAATTTTGGAATGGTAAGGAAATAGCTGTCAATGCAAAGGTATGCAGTTTGAATGCATCAGCTGCTCCGTAGGAGAAAGATGGGCAGTCTCCTCCTACGCAATTTACTGCCTTTGAAAACCTGCTTGAGGTTAGCTATGGGTTGGTTCTGACTCGACAGCACACAACAACAACAAATGCTAACTGGAAACTTGGAAATGAAGAAAAAATGCAATGCACCTGGTGAAATAGATTATCTTGGTCATATTATGTCCATTAAAGCTTCTCAACCTCTTCCTTGTCACCCCACAAATTCCAAGAGGTAACTTGCCTCAGGGCTCCAGGAACTCCCAAGGTCTAGGCTTGTAGCCAAAAGGCTGAAGCGATTTTGAGGTCAAACTCCTATGTATCTCCTTGGTACACCAGTGCAGTGGCACACTGCTTAGAGAACCATCCCACTGAAATATGTCACTCAGGTATGCACAATAACTTCTGGAGTTCTTTTGTGGTTTTGTCCACAGTATATTAATTAGAACTTCATCAAAATGGGAGAAGAAAACACCTAAGTAAAATAGACTTTGATAAGAAAATATCCATTAGGCTGATCGAAGTTCTCAGATATTGAATTCTTACTCAAGTTCTGAGTAAGATACAGTCCGAATTATATGCAGAAGGTCACTCACTTTGTATTTTGTTTTAGATGGAGTCTGGGAGAAAGGTTTTCTGGCAAATTCAACCACCTGATGAATGAATCAGAGGTTTAAGAGTTATTTATACCTACGCTGTATCTTTTAGTCAGTGTTCTTTAATATAACTGCAATCTCTTCACCCCATGTCCTGGTAATACTTTTATATTTGTGATAGTCCTATTGGTTTAATCCAAATTACAGCTGTATGGAAGAATCTGGTCAGGTGCTCTGAGAATTTGTGGTACTGTAATTATACATCACTCAATCAAACTGTAATAGACATTTTCTTATAATGCATGCTGTTGTTGCTGGGTCGTGTTGAGTCTGAGCTGAACCATAGATGGTCCTCCAGGTGGTTTTCAGAAACAGTAAATCACAAGGGAGAAGACTGATTATCCTTTTCCTGTGGAGCAGCCTGTGAATTCAAACCACATACCTTTGGGATTACAGCACAGCATTTTACTACTAGGCCTCCAGAGCTTCCCATGTATAAAGCATAGAAAAGATTTAGACCAGGAAATGACTAAATATATCCCCTGGTACAGATATGGCCTACCCTGTATTTTGGGTGTTTTTTTTTTATTCTGGGGAGGTCCAGCCACATCCACATCTTCATATACTGTCCAAAGTCTTGGCAAAAATGTTACAAAGGCAGAACAGTCTGTATGGCACACAAACCAGAAAACATTCAACCCCCCGGCCTTAGCAGAAAGAGTTGTTGACCCTGTGCTGAATGATGGTACAATGAAGAAAAAAAAATTACATACTCAAAGAGACCTTTTCTCTTTTCGGAAAGATCATAACAAGCACATAAGTTCAAAATGGTGATAGAAAAAGAAATTGTTTTAAGAAATATGACTACTTCATGTACCTGAATGACATACAATGTATACTATTTATTGGATGCAAACCAATAAAAAAATAACAAGAAAGAATGATCATTTCAATGTTGGAATAAGTTTCTATGTGAATGCATGTATGTAATTTCTTTCAACATACTTAAAATTAAGTGACCATTTTGAATAGTACTTCATTAAGATGAATATTCCAATGAGCTTTTGATGTAGATCTTACCTGTGAGAGTTTCCAAAGCTCTGCCAGGTGTGATATTCCTCCATAAGATCAATGTGATCCAATGTAGAATTATAGAAATCAGTATAAGAAATAAGGGGAGGGTGAACCAAATTGTTTGCTGTATCTGTAAAGCAAAATTATAACAATGATCATTTCCAGTATACATATCATTTATTCTAGTAATGAAAAGCTCATTTTAATGTTCACCACAAACAAATTCCCAACCCCCTACAAAACCAACCAAAATTGTGATGGTGATTATACCAGTAGTAAAGAGAACACACAGATGGCCAGCAACTCAGACTATTTTCCCATCGGTGTATTCTCTCCCAGGGGTTCTTGGGAATTAAACGAAGTTTCTGTTTTCTTGGGAATTACTATTTAGTAGACTATAGACAATTGGTATCCATAATACATAATAAATAGTCAAAATATAACAGATAGCCAAGAAATGGCATATAGCTTCTTTTTTGTTTATACATTAATTATAAAATCCATTATTAAAGTAGAAGATAAATTTCAACTTTTTCCTTCCAAGGAGTAGAATTGTCAGAAGTCAAAAAATGCCTCTACAGTACTTTGAAATCCTTAAGGAAACCCTCCTAGGGATATCTTTAAGGAAATATTTCTTCAACAAAGAAAAACAACCTACTTAGTAAAGCCAGCACTTTCGATGCTGATGGAATCCACCAGGAACACTTCGTTATTGGGGGAAACTCCTCAGGCTTTGCAGGAAACAGGCGTAAAGAAATAAATTGCAGCAATCTTTCTACCAATTGTTTGAACCTCTTCTGGGACAATCTGATAAAGATTTTTAAATAATTCCAATCAAAACTCATACTCTTCATTCTGTTAATAGCTTAGATATCCCTCAAAATTCTATTTCTTAAATGGCACACTATTTGAAAAGCTGTAATCTCTTACAGTTGATAGAAAACTAGCACCAAAATTTACTATAACATCAGTACCAAATATATTTAGTTTTACTCTTTTCAATATATTTTAAATTAATTTTAGAAGTATTTTGCCTCTTTCATCTTTTACCAGCCATGGAGTAACTTCACTATTAATATGAATACATAAAAGAAACAAATTATACTTTTCACAAGGTGATACTGATGGCTAACTTATATCTAAATCTTTGGAAGTAAGAGTGAGTATCATGTAAACCATGGTATGATTTACTGACTTATAGACAAGAAATAACAAGACTTCATCAGAATACCTAGAACAAACTCATTCACCATTTCTGAGAGAGACAAAAATCATAAAATAGTAGATAAAAAGTGTTCATAATAGTTTGTACAAGCAAAATGATTAAATTTAAAACATATTTTAAATTATTATCTATGGAGGTCTAAAATACATTTTAATAATTAATTGACTTTTGAAGCATTCATTATGCATTGCCAATCTCATCACTAAAAAGCTGAAAACACTGAAATAGACTTTACTGTAAAATTGACAAACTTCAAATTGTAATTTTTTTAAAAGTACTTAATATCACAGAAAGATTTACTTTTTAAACCAGTGCACTAGGAAATGATGGTCAGCTTCCACTAAAGTAGCTATCTGTCGCAGCAAGTGAGCATAGATGACGTATGTGGTTGTGTTATTAAACTGAGGATTCTGGAAAAGATATTGAAGATAATTTCATTAAAATTTAATCTCATGTAAAAGGGAAGACATTAACTTTAATGATTCTTGGAACATAAGACTATGAAATTGGAAAATATTCTTTGAAACAATCTATTATTTAACTAACATAGAGACTTTTTACATTAAGGTAGAGCAGAAAGGACATGACATAGGTTCTATATAAGAGCTGTGGGTCTGAGGGCTAATTTCTTAAACTTTTATTTTTAGTTTCCTCCTCTGTAAAATAACAGTATCTACATTAGGGGCCAAGCTCAGTGCTTGATATAAAAGAGGCGTTTTACAAAGGGTTGGTAAGCACTATTTTCCAACAAAATCTGGGTTTTCCATGATTAAAAAATAAAAATATGAAATAAAAGTTGTTTGTGAATCTTCTATCACTGAAATGAGGTAGATCCTTATCTCACAAAGATTCAGAGGGGATCACATGAGGGTCTGATAGTTTAGAAATGTTAAGGGAGATTGCTTATAAAATGAGTAAAATGTCTAAATTTTTATTCTCCAAAATCCAAGACTCCATCACAATTTAGAATTTAAACCTCATGGAGAAAAGGAAATAATCTGAAATTTTAAAAATCACAACAAGAGAGCACGATGTGCTTTTCAAAATTGACTTACTGGCAGGACAATCAAAATCAAGGTGTGACCCCAGTTGGTAAAACTTCATCTGGTAACTCATGAAAAGAACAGGATATTATGAACAGAGCTTATTGCTGACTAATGTACTTACCTAATAATTCACCTTGTTTTCATTTTTCTAGTTTTTACCGTTATCTACAAATATTTCTTCTTTCTTTTTTTCTGTTTTCCCTTTCTCTTCCTATTCTCTATTGCTCTTTCTTAATCTCGCTCCTTTACTGTCTATCATTTCTTCCCCTCCCCTTTGCCCTAGGTTTACTTTTCCCCCTTTCTTCTATACACCACCTCACATATTTTGTTTTACTGGGCACACTATTAAGCCAGTTACTATAGCTTTATCTTTAATGAGATAATAATACACACAAATACTTTTTGTAACTTCGAAAGAATAAGAAAAATGTAATAGAAATTAAAATGTTATTATTTGGTCTATAACTCAGTATTATTATTTTTACCTTATGAATCTGTATGTCTCAAGAGGATCTTTGCTTTAAGAAACAAAAAAAATTTTATTTACTTTTCTATCAGAATTCTAACTTAGAAATCTATTAGCTGGAAAAGTGAAAGAATGTGCTTGTGTCCATTAATACTAGTCACAGAGAGGAAATTGCACAGAAGAAAAAGTGCTTCCATTCCACTTGTCATTGAGTATCATGAAGGCAATTAAGAACTAAATAAAATTAACATTTTTCACCTTGTTGATAATTTAGCTTCAAATAGTTTGCTACAACATTCATTCTGTGGTCACAAGTAACAATTCTAAAACATCAATATATTGCTCAAAACAAAACCTCCTATTTTATATTCTTTCATATATATGCATGGACTGATATTAAATAGACCACATTGACTAAGATCTTATTTTCTTACCTGTAAAAGTACAAAATATGCTCGAAGATCATCTTTTGTTCGTGGACTGAAAAAAAACAAACACAACAAGCCAAGCATCACATGATGATGGATATTTAATCTCATGTTATTGTTGTTGGGTGCCTTCAAGTTGACTACAACCCACTGAGACCTTATGAACAATAGATCTGAACCCTAACCTGTATCCTCACCATCCCTGGAATGTGTTGATCCACCTCGTTGGAAAGATCTTCCTCTCTTGCTGACTTTCTGCCTTTCCAAGCAGTGTTTTTTTCTAAGGACTGGTCCCTCCTAATAACATGCCCAAAGTTTCTGAGATAAGTTTAATCTCATATTATTTAATTAAAAATGACCAATAAATGTTTCCATGAGAACAGAGTTGATAAAATAGCCAGAAAAGCTATACTTAATATGTATGATATGTTTTGTTTTCCACAATGTGTTCTTTTATTTGCAAGCATCCCACTGGTGGACCAGGGTCAGCGGAGGTGGGTGGCTCCTCACCCAGCAAAGGCCTAGAAGCTGGGGCCCATGGCCCTGCTCTCGCTGCTCACTGGGAGTTATTGGGACTGTTGGAGGAAGCTGCACTCATCTCCTCCTGGTCCTCGCTGGCCTGGTTCACCTTCACCTTCTTGTTAAATTTGTGGTAACGGCAGTAGATAGCCTGCTCTTTGGGATTTCTGTCTTCTGGGATGGGTGGAGGGCATTCGGGTGAGTTTTTTCTTCAATTTCCCCTGGACTCTCATCTTTGTGGTCTTTGATCTAGATAAACATTTGTGCTTACAGTGAGTCGAACCAGGAGGCTTCCCACTGGAAGCACTGGGAAATGGCTGGCCAGCTGCTGAAATGAATAGCTATGACTCCATGGCTATCTTTATTCTGTCTTAATATGTACTATTATGGAAACAATAATAATTTGATAATATATTGGGACTAGAGGTTTCTTTATGTTAGGTTGGGCTAGTTCTGAAGATCCCTAGAGGCTGAGTTAACTAGGCTCTGACATCTTATACTGCAACTATCAAGATCAATCCTGTTTTGATCAGGGAGAGCAGAATCTTCACTTTAGAATATATTAAGTGATATATTTAGAAATGTCTGCAGTGAAATCATGCTTTACATGAATCTAGGACATTTCTAATGAATTCAAGACCCTTAACTGGTTCCTGAATTGAAAAAGGTAAAAGTCATAATGAAAGAACTTGTTGGGCAAGAGGGAAAACGTCAATGTGGACCGCGTTGTAGAGAGTAACACTGGCTGTTAACTTGTGTTTGAGATGGTGGTATGGTTAGGCAGGAAAAAGCTCTTCAGAAATATTTGCTGATGATTAGGAATCAAATGTCATGATGGTTTCAACATAACAAAAATAAATGGAGGAAAAGAAAGTAAATGCTACCGTGGTTCAAGGTGAAAGGTACCGAATATTCATTCTACTCTTTAACTTTTCTGTAGTTTAAAATTTTCAAAATTAAAAGTAGATGAGAAAGAGCTCCAGTGGCTTACACAGCAGGGAGTCACACTGCTTACCAAACCAACAGTGAGGAGAAAACGGCTCACCACTAAGTACTTCCCTCAAATGCCTTTCTGAAAAGAATGTAACCAATGGCAACTTATTTTTTAGTTTAGGTGTTATTTGGAAAGGCAAGAGAACCCGAATAAGCAAAGCCCTTCTGAGGAAAAAAGGTGAAGCCAGATCTCAAAACTTCCTGATCGCAAACCTAAGACACAGCTAGAGAAGTCAAAAGAGTAGGCACTGGTACAGTGAAGGGCATGTAGACCAATGTGATAAAGTCAAAAGAGTAGGCACTGGTACAGTGAAAGGCATGTAGACCAATGCAATAGCATCAAGAACCCAGAAATTAACCCACCTACCTTTGGTCAACTGATACTTGATAAGGAAACAAAACCTATTAAATGTGAAACAACAGCCTCTTTACCAAATAGTTAATAACAAATAATGGCGACACTGGACCTTATGCCTGTGGAAAATGGAAACAGGACCCACATCTCATGCCATATACAAAAACTACCTCACAATGAATTAGAGATCTAGTGGTAAAACCCCAAACCTTAAAGATCATCAGAAACTAAATAGGAACAAATTTAAAAGTCCTAGTCCACAGCATAAATAGATTTGTAAACACAGACAAAATTTCACAACCAGGATAAAATAGATGAATGAGATCTGAAAACTGTCTCTCTGTGTGCATCACAAAGGGTGAAAAAGAAAGTCCACAGACTGGGAAAAACATTTGGCAATGATATTTCAGACAAAGGACTCATTACTAGAGTTAGAATTTAGACAATACTACAAAGCACCAATAAGAAAAATCCTGAAAACCCAATTGCAAAACGTGGAAAAGACATGGAAAGATGCTTTACAAAGGACATTCAGACAGCCAACAGACATGAGGGAATCTTCAAAATCACCAGTAATCAGAGAAGTGTGAATAAAAATATCTATGAGATGCCACCTCACTCCAGCAATACTAGTAAAGCTCCACAGGACAGAAAACAGAAAATGTTAGCAAGGATGAAGGGAGACTGGCAGTCTCATGCACTGCTGGTGGGACTGTAAAATGGTATAATCACTACGGAAAGCAGTATGGCTTTTCCTAAAAAAGCTGAATGTAGGAATCCCTTATGACTCAACTACTCCACAGGCAGGAATATACCTCAGGGAAATCAGTGATGAGATATGAGCAGGAGAGATGTATACTTATGTTAATAGGCATGTTATTTATATCACCTAGAACATGGAAGCAGTCAAAATGCCCATCAACAGATGAATGGATAGAAACACTGTGGTATATACACATAATGGAATACTATGCAACACTAAAGAACAATTAACTATTCATAAAATAGGACACACACAGAAGAGACAGAGAGCATTATGTTCCGTGAAATAACTCAACCACAAAAGGACAAACACTGTCTAAAACTACTATTGTGAAAACAGGAAGATAACTGAGCATGCTATGTGTGGACGTTCAAGGGCAGAAAAGAAAGGGGAAAAGGGGAGAGAGAAGGAGGAGGACAATGACTGGGATAGCAGTTTAGTGAATTAATAGGGAGAGAAAGAATGAGAAAGATGCAATGGGGAATTGCATGATAAAAGGTATAGATTGTTGTTGTTATGCAACAACATAAATAGTAATCAATTATAAAACAATGTATAGAAATTATTGTATAAACACAATGTTCATGAGTGAAAGTCAATGCAAAACAATGTAGTAAAAAAATCTGAATACATAAACCATTACTCAATATGTACTAAGTACAACTTTAAAATGAAATCATGTAAACTTAAGACATAAATGAACTTACTAAAAATGGAAATGTGTGTGTGTGACTATGTATACACTGACCACTGGTGGCACAGGGACTAATGTGCTATGCTGCTAACTAAAAGGATAGCAGTTAAAGAGTACACCAGCCTCTCCACCCCATGATATGTATATATAGGTAGTCTCCTTCCTAAAGATTTATAACTTGGAAACTTAACAGAGGGATGCTATGACTCGGAACCAACTCAACAGCAGTTTAGTGGTAGGAGATATATATCCATACACACACATATATATATAGAATGTATATATTATAAATATATATATAGAATATATATTATAAATATATATAGAATACATATATATTATAAATATATAGAATATATATATATATTATAAATAATGATCTGAATTCTTTTTCAGATACTCTTTGAAGTCCATCCTCCTAGGAAGCTATAGATCACAAGTTGAAAGCTCTGCTGAACTATTTCTGATCTATGCTATTATTATAACTCGAAACTTTTTCTAAGTGTCAGAATATATATGTATGTATATATACATATATATGTATAACATATATGCATATGATGTTTGTTGTTAAGTGCCATTGAGTAGAGTATGACTCATACCCTATAAACCAAAGATCTGAACCCTGTTCTAGACCTGTTATTCTTTCTCTATGTTTATAGAGCTTTCAGAGGCATGTGGTTTAGGAAGTGGATGCCACTCCTGCTTAAAAACCTGACTCAATCTGGGAGCTCCACCAAACACTGTCCTCAATGGTTAATCATTATGGCATTTGACACGCCACAGCACTCAGTATCACAGCAACCCCAAGTTACTCAGTACTGCAAATAGACCACTAATGTACCATTTAGAAGAATATTCATCCCAAAATCAATCAACACCAGGTCTGAGGGCCACAGGCCTTCGGGCCCTACTGCCTTTTAACTACAGACATGCTCACCAGGTGCTAGTTGACTCTAAACCAAAATATCTATGTATTATATATACATACATACATATGTACGTGTGTGTAAACAAAATAAAGATGCATGAGGTGTTTTTGTTACATGTATTAGTTAGATAAAAAATAATTATAATTACCCTTTCCATTCTCTTAATAAGCTGTTAATGATCCCCTTTAATACTGTTTTCTGAATATCTTGAGGCTGCAAGCAAAAGAAAAATCAAAATCATGGGATAATTAAGAGTAGTTACTTAGAAAGGTAATGTATATATTAGTTATATCTACAGATTTGTTTCAATATTTGAAATTAGACTTGATGATTATGAAGTTGTTACTGTATTTTAACTTTACACTTTAGAATCATAAGAAGCAATAATATACAAGAAGAGTGCTGGCCCCACTGTGCAATTTGTATCCTGCACAACTGTATATTAGTGATGCTAGTAGTTTTGGTTATGGTGACACTAGTAGTTTTATAAAACTGAAGAACAAATTTACTTTCCTGGGCTTGACAGGATAAAGTTACAAACACAAATCCAAGAGTACCTGCTCAGAAATAGAAAATAATTGCATATATTTTTAATATATCTAATTGTACTGTACCAATGCCAGGTTACAATTAGAGTTGAACCCACAATTCACTAGTTAAAGACAAGCAAATGATATTTCAATGAAAATATTAATAATGATAAAAAAATAAGAAGATAAACCTTTTTAACTATAGAATATAAGACTGGGAAAAGGCATTAAAAAATCTTCCTTTATAGTTTAATAATTCAACTACTAAAACAAATACTATTCGCTACCAAACATCTAAAATAAGAATGAGTGAACTAAGATACATCTACATGTATCTTCTAATATGTATCATTATAAATGTATACTATAAAGATGTATAAGCTTTAGATTATAAGGAATAAAACGTCCAATAACTAGAAGTTTCAAATAATCACTAAAATTTGTCATTTCTTAGAAATAAAAGCAGCAAACACCAAAGAAATAAGTGCATATTATGGGTTTATTTAAAACCATGGCTATGACTTCCAAGATGTATCTGTCTGCATATATTAAGTTTAATGTTTTAACAATTTATAAAAATTTCATTTTTCGCACTCTGCTTCCTGTGACCCTTCCTATGAAGAAGGCAAGCACCACACTGCTCAACTAACCACTTACTTAACTGCTGGGAGAAAAACTAGCTACAGGAACTGAATGTACTCACTTGATGACCACAAATCTCAAAAGGACACACAGACACACCACTGCCAGTCTTACACTTCCCTAACTTGCTTGCTTTCCCACCTTCTGAGACATGTATTTGAAACTTTATCTTTCCTCTCATCTTGAACATCTCCTTCTCATCATCACTCTCAGCTCATGACTGCTATACACGTCGAACATCAAACAGATGAATCCAGAGATCTGGTTTACAGCCTTTCCACCACTTGTATCAATCTACCTGCATCTGTAGTTATCAAAGCCAACACTTCCACTTAGGTTTATATATAGCCCGTCCCCTCTCACTTTGTCAACTACCAAGCTATTACTGTTTTCTCTCTCCTTTGTAATCTGTTTCGCCTTCTCTACCAGATCATCCATTAGCATAACACCAGAAGCATAACACCTGCACTGCTTTGCCTCTTCATATCTACTCTCTACTCTTCTCCACCCTGCTCTGTGCTCCAGGAAGCTGGTTTGGTCCCTAAGGCCTGCATCATCTAGACTCCCTTTCCTTCGGTCTTCTGGTTGGATTGGGCAATAGAAAGCATGGGCAGGAGGAAGGAAAGTGACGTTGGGGGATTTATTCCCTTCATTCCCCCTCCTAAGGGCCATCAGGCGCTTGTTGTCATGAACTAGCTGTGCATCGTGACTAAAGTTCCAGGTTCCCTTAAGACAGTGGTCTCTTACCCAGCCACTTTTTAAGCTCATTCCTGGAATACTGTATTGGGTTTTGTTGTTGCTGATTTGTTTTTTAAGGTTTCATTCACTCTATTAGGGGAGCTCTGCTGGTGTAGTCCATGGGGAGCTCACTGTTAACATGAAGGCTATGCCTCTCAAGTGGTATAGATTCACCAGTGTCTCCACAGGAGAAAGATGGGCAATCTCTTTCCATCTGTCTTAAGCCTCAGAAACTCAGGGGTTATGGGTTGAATCTAACTTGAAGGCAAGTTAGTTTCTCTATTAACAACTCTAAAAGTAATCTGAGTGTGCTATCTACTTACTTCATCCAGCACCAAAACTAGTAAAGGGGGGGGACCCACCCACCCCAAAATCCAAACAACAAACTCTCAATTAATTCATCTCTGCCTCTCTTCACTGCAAAACTCTTCATGCCATCTCTATCATGGTCTTTACTTTCTCTCCTTTCATTAGCTCTTCAACCCATTCCAAATAAGCTTTTGTCCCTACAATTGCACAAAAATGGCCTTTTCTCTCATTTATAATCTATATTTAATTAAAGACAATGGTAAATTCTCAGTCCGAACCTTACTATATATATATCTCAGCAGCATTTGACAAGGTTTGGTTTTCCTTTGCTGAGCCTTCTTGGAATGGTCATTAAAAAACAAACACAAAAATATCCCCAAACTATTAATTTTTATGACTGTGAAGGGTTTTGTGGTGTCACAAGTTTACTGTTCAAAGCAGCTTTTCAAGCCACTGGCTTTGACTTTAACTATATAAACTAAACATTATGAGGTTGGTCAGTTTTTCCATCTCAACAATTTTAAACTGTGTAGGTTTGGCAGTGAAGGAGGGAATCTCACAGAAGCAGGAGCGACTACAGTGTGTCCTTCAGGGCAGGGATTCCTGCACTAATCAGACTAGGACCTACATGAGAGCAGTAACAGGCTTGGCAGGGAACCAGACCGACACGAGACAGAGCTGACGTGGGACTGCTGCTCCAGGGGCCAAAGGCAGGGGCGTTGGCTCATGTCTGCTGGAGGACTGAGGGGAGACAACCACAGCTGGTCGTAACTGTGCAACTTGGACCTAAGCTGTGAGGCTGAAGGTCAAAGGTCCTGTGATCACACCTGAGAAAGCTCACTGTCTGAGGAACTGTATTTTGCTGCCAACTTGAACTTTAACCTGTTAATTTCCTGGGAAACCCTACAACCCTGAGTCTGATTCTGTGAGATCTGTGTGGCCATCACAGTGGATTTCAGACGCAGAGCAGAGCTAGATGACTGGTGTAGGGATGGGAGTGTGGAGTGTCTAACCTTTCAGGAACTGGTTTTGTAGTGAAGATGTTACTGATGGGGATGGTTTCCTTTTGTGGAGTTATAACAGAGGTCAGATGCCGACACTCTTTTGGTAGGTTTTTTTCCTATTTCTTTGATGGCAAATGATACTAAGTACCCTTTCCTAGATTTAATGGTGAAACAGTGAGAATGAGAATTAGATAGAGACGTTTGCTAGCATTTATTTTATTAAAAATTGTTAAGAGTTACTGGCCAGTATATAAATTCAATTACATGGAAGATATAATGTTGTTGTTAAATGCTGTCGAGTTGAGCATGACCCACACCAACACTATGAACAAAAGACCTGAATCCTGTTCTATAACTACCTTCGTTTCTCCTATGTTCATAGTTTCCAGAGTCATGTTATTTAATAATTGAGAGAAAAAATAAAAAATTCTCATTTTCCACAAATGGCAAGCCTGTATAATCAGAAAACTGAAACGAACTACAGAGGTACTATATACAAGTCGATGAGTGAATTTAGCAAAGACGGTCCATAGAGAGTTGCACTGCTAACCCAAAGACTGTACCTCACTGGCAATTCATACCCACATACATGCCTGTGGCATGAAGAGGGACAATCTCCTCGCATGTGATTTATAGCCTCTGAAAACCCACTAGAGGGTCAGCTATGAGTTGGTTCTAACTCAACTGCAATAAGTTTTTTAAGCAACAATTAGAGAATAAAATTATACTATCATAAAAAACAAGTACTAAAAATAAATGTAAACAGAAATATGTCAGCCTTCTAATCAGAAGACTAGAAAAGATTACCAGAAGAAATGAAAGATAATCTAATAATCTGGAAAGATACAGCATGGTCATGGATTGGAACAATTTAAATTCTTGTTAAATTAAACTACTGCAATGGAGTTCTCAAAATGTGGTTCCTAAATCAGGAGCATCAACATAATCTGAGAATTTATGAGGAAAAAAAAAAAAGCAAATTCTTGAGTCCCAACCCAGATCTACTGAATCTGAAACTGCATTTTACAAGTTTTTCCTATTAATTACTCTGATACATGCAAAAGTTCAACATTGACACTGAGATCATGAAAACTCCAAAACAATCAAATCACTTTCCTCCTTCTGGTGAATAATGAAAGTATGACTTTATTTTAGAATGACTTTTTAAAACAAAGATTAGATGTAGAACTTTATGTTTCATTTCCAGCTAATTAGAGAAAGAAAATAATAAAATCATCTCCTTTTCTGAGTATTCTAGCAAATTTACTATACAGCTGCAACAGAGTGTATACTTATTTACAAACTACCAGGTGACTCTTAGAATATTTGTGAAACTGCTTCTGAAATAAAGAGACACAGAATAATATTATTAGTATGTGTTCAAATGATACTTACAGTATTCAGCAAGGCATCATATACAGCATTTACAAATTTAGCATTAATCCCAGAGTCTTCAATGGTATTAAATGAGGCAGTGATATCTTTCTGCAAATGTAATGAAATAGTTAAGTATATATAACATTTCACAGACTATTCTTACTAATATCTCAACCCTAGCTATACCCTTGACAATTTCTCTTCATTTAGTCTTATGGTAAAAATGAACTGGTAACAGAAATTTGCTAAAAAATGACTGTATAAGTATTATTTTAATAACTTTCTTTTGTAATGCCAGAAGAATGGAATGAAACATTAACAGCATAAACAAAAACAATACATAATAAAATTTATTATATTATTTAAGTAATATTTGATCATTCATAATATATGGACCTTCAGGTATCTAAGTATCTATCCATCCATGTTTGGTCAGTTATTTAACTCAATATTACTTACAAAAAAAGGTAAATTTACCATATCTATTTTGGAAAATTTAAAACTAAATGTAAATTTAAAATATGTTTTATGCATTTTACCTTAAATGCAGCATTTAGTTCTGGGAAAGAATCAAATGTTGTTAGATAAAAATCATGTACTGCTTTCCAATCTCCTGATGACTTAACTTTTTCTATATCTTCCCTAAAATAAGAACATACATTAACCAGATAGTTATAAATATTATTCAGATAAAGTAACATTATTCTTTTATAAATAAATGGCATCAAATAAGTACTTTGAAATAGTGAAACAATACTGAAATGTGTCAGTTAATGTAAACGTGATTTATGAATTTATTTCTTAACTGGATTAAGATATTACTTTATCTTGAACATTTACTTACCTGCTTTAAAAGGAATTCTTTTTTTTGTTTATTATGTCTGATATAGGACTGTATGTAATCGCATTTACCTCTGGTGACTATATTCCTTGTGCATCTTTCTGTGTCTTCTCTTTCCTTAGTAATATTGTGCTGATCTTTCCCTTATTATATAATGCTTTTCCCTACACCTTCTTAATGTGTATCTATTATCTACCCATTGATATTTAGGTAACTATAAAAATTCTTAACATGACCCTTCCATTTACCATTATCTCTTTCTCTTGATAGCCAAGTTTCTTTGCGTTTGTATTCATTCTATCTCCACTTTCTCATGCTCAATTTACTTTAAGTATCTTTAAATATACATTTGAATTTTTTGAGTGGTGTTATATGTATCACACAGAAGATAAAATCTTACTTTTTAAGAAATATCACAATCTATCATTTTGTATTACCAATTTTATCTCATATTGACTCATTCTCTTCTTTATAATTTCTTTTGCTGAAATCCATCTAGCCTTTACTTACTGTTCTTGTATTTGTTTTCACCTTCAACTTAAGACTTCTAGTCATTGATATCTTCACTCCCCTACTACCTTGATAATGATTAATTAATCTTTCATGCAAAGATTTTAATTATATAAAGTACTGATATGCAGATGATTACATGTTTACATATAATAGTGAGGTGAAACTTACTGAAAGTCTTTCATAGATTTGGGCTGGGCAGGAAGGGAGGACTCTGGGAGGACTGATGTCTTCACTTCGGATGATAATCCATCAATGGAAACACGCTGTTTTTGTCTAACATCTAGGCAAAGAGGTGGTAGATCCCTCACTGTGAGGTATTAAAAAAACTCAGTGTAAGAAATTATAAAACATTTTCAAATTATAAAATGCACGGCTAATCTAAAAAGGAACAGGAAGCAAATGAATTATGTTTTATTGCATTCATTTTGGGATCATAAAACAGAAAACTTCCCAACAACAGTGAAGGGGACCTATTCAAACGTCTGCTGTCCTCCCCTACACCCACATCAGCTATTAAGGCTTCATTACAGCAATGTGTAAATTTAACACGGACCTTCTTCCCTTTTACAGAGGCTGTTAATCCCATGAGAGTCGATTACTTGTCTTTTTCTTGCAGCTAGTGGATTTGAACCGAGTGCCTTTGGGTTGGCAGCACAATTCCTTACCACTAAGACATCAGGGCTCTCTTTTCTTACATCAATGTGAATTTAGTATGAAATTTCTTCCCATCTCCTAAAGAGTTGTCTTTCAGGAAATATTTCAGTGCGGTTGTAGGTTTTTAATATTTATTATCCTTTTGAAAATATGTAAATTATTTGTCCTCTGCAATTTGTTAGTGGGATATTCTTGCCAATTTGCATACACTTTAATGTATTTCTTTTTTGTAAATATTTTCCAGCTCATTGTTTACCTTTTTGGTGCATTTTATAACCTTTTGATTATAAAACAAATACAGAAAAATCTAACAAATATATGCCTTAATGAATTATTATGAATCAAACACAACTGAAATCACTAACTAGTCAAGAAACAAGACAGGACAGTACCATTCCCTTCCCAGAAATTCCATTATATATCCTATCTCAGTTAAAATTCCTTTTCTCTGTAAAAATGTAACCATCATCCTGATATTATAACCGCACATCCCCGTACATCCCTACATTATATAGCGGAGTCCTGCTTATGTTTTAAAACAAACAAACTCGGTATTTTTAAATCTCTTTTCATCTACAGATTTCCTTCTTCATTCTTTGTTTTCCTAATAATTTACTTATAGAAGAACCTGAGTCATTTACTCTGTAAAGCTTCCTTCAGTCTAGATAGTGCTGACTGTATACTTACTATACAGAAATGCATGTTAATGAACTTATTAACAATATGGAGGAACAGAAGAACAAACAAATATGTCTCAGCTGAAATGCAACCAGAGTGTTCCTTAAAGGTAAGGATGGTGACATTTCATCTCACATATTCTGGACATGTTGTTTGGAGAGACCTGTCCTTGGAAAAAGACAACATGCTGGGAAAGGCAGTAAATCAGCTAAAGAGAAGAAGACCTTCAACAAGAAGGACTGATACAGTGACTTAAACAATGAACGTGAGCATGACAAGAGCATGAGGATGGCACAGGATGGGGTAAGGCTCAGGTTTGCTGTTCACAGGCTTGCTATCTGTCATAGTCAACTTGATGGGGCTACAACATATGGAGAGAAAAAAAAGAAACTGTATTTCTATCTCACACCTTAATAACGTAAATGTCAATATAAAAAGTATAGGAGAATATCCATCTGGCATCTTTAAAAATATAAAAAGCAAATTAGAAAAGAAAAAAAAATATTCTTATTATCATTAAAGATACCTTGGAGAAAGTAAAAAGAAGTTAAAAATTCAGAGATACTATTGGAAAAACGTATCAAAGGATTAGTATCAGGAACCTACAAGGAAGTGTGTCCTAAAATCAGTAAGAAAAGAAAAATAACTCAGCAGTTAATGTGCAAAAGGATCAAGTAGGCGTTTTAGAGCTGAAAAAGCATACGCATATGAGATATGTTTAGTCTCATCAGCTATTAAGGAAATGTAAATAAAGAATGCAGTATCAATTATACCCATTTGATTGATAATCAAGGTGTGTGATCATTTCAAGTATGAAGATGATGTTGATCAGTAGGATACTTCACATATGCAGTTCAGTTGGCTCTAACTCACAGTGAGTGTTACTAATTGAACTGGAAATGTGTGTGTCCCTCCCCCAAGACATAACTCTCTCTCTCACAGGAGAGCTCTGGTGGCCTAGTGGCAAGAAGCTGCAACTGCAAGCTCAGAGGTGCACAGTTCAAATCCACCAGATGCTCTGCTGGAGAAGGAGGAACAATCTCCTCCTGTACCAGTCAGATCTGATTTGATGGCATACACACAAAAAATAATGAAATAATAATAATAAAAAAGACATGACTCTCAGTATTACCTTTGGTGTGATTTGATGTAATCATCCCATGTGTTGTAAATCTTAACCTCTACGATGTTAATGAAGCATGGTGGAGGCAGTAATATTAAGGAGTTAGG